ATGTATTTTTTTTAAATCTCTAAATCATTGATTTCTGCTCTAATCATTGTTATTTCTCTCCTTCTACTGATTTGGTGTTTGGTTCTTATTTTTCCAGGTCCTTGAGGTATAATGTTAGATTGTTTATTTGGAGTCTTTCTTCTTTTTTGATATAGGCATTTAAATTGCTATAAACGTCCCTCTTAGAACTGCTTTCGCTGTACCCCATAGGTTCTGGTATGTTGTATTTTCATTTGTCTCCAGGAATTTTTAAATTTCCTTCTTGATTTCTTCTTTGACCCATTCATTGTTTAGGAACATATTGTTTAATTTCCATTTGTTCATACAGTTTCTTGTGTCCCTTTTATTGTTGATTTCTAGTTTTATTCCATTGTTGTCGGACAAGGTAGTTGATAATGATTTTGATTTTTTAAAATATGTTGAGACTTGTTTTGTGTCCTAACATATGGTCTATTATATAAAATGTTCCATGTGCTGCTCAGAGGAATGTGTACTCTGCAGCTGTTTTTTTTTTTTTTTGGCAGCTGGCCGGTACAAGGGTGTGAAATATTCTGCAGCTGTTGGATGAAACGTTCTATAAATGTCCATTAGATCAAGTTAGCCTATAGTAGAGATTAATTCTGGTGTTTTCTGGTTAATTTTCTGTCTGGATGATCTGTCGTTTGCTGAAAGTGGGCTATTAAAGTCTCCAGCTATTACTGTGTTAGAGTCTCTCTTTCCTGTTAGTTCCAGTAGTGATTGCTTTTATAAAACTGGGTGTTCCAGCGTTGGGTACATATATATTTAGAATTGTAATATCCTCTTCTTGAATTGATCCTTTATCATTATATAATGACCTTCCTTATCTTTTTTTATTTATTTTTTTTTTACTTTCCTCAGCTTGAAGTCTATTTTATCTAATATAAGTGTAGTTACTTCTGCTTTTTTTTGGTTTCCATTTGCATGAAATGTCTTCTTTCATCCCTTCCCTTTCAGCTGGTGTGTGTCTTTATCAGTTAAGTGAGTATTTTTGTAGGCAGCATATTTTTTGTTCTTGTTTTATAATCCATTCAGCCAGTCTGTTATTTTAATTGGGGCATTTAATCTGTTTATATTTAGAGTTGTTATTGATATATAGTGATTTATTACTGCCATTTTGCTATTTTTTTTTCTCATTTTGTAGATCCTTTTTCCCTTTTTTCGGGTGCTACTGTCTTCCCTTGTGGTTGAGTGGTTTTCTCTAGCTTTACATTTTGATTTCTTGCTACTCTTTTTTTTTTTTCCTTTTTGTCTTTTTTTACTGACCAGTAATGGGATCGCAACCCTCGGTGTCGCGCCCGTACCGGGGACCAGCAATGGGATCGCAACCCTCGGTGTTGCGCCCGCACCGCGCTCAGCGAGTGAGCGGGAACCGGTCTCCACATGGGACCCGAACCCTCGGCGGGAGCGCCGCCGCACTCCCAAGTGGCGCACTCTCCAGTGCGCCACCGGGCCGGCCCTCTTGCTACTTTTTAAAAGAAGTATGTACTCACCATTTTTCCATATTCTTGAACATTTTTATGTTAGAATTTCTCAAAGAAACCCTGAAGAACTTATTAACATTTTTAATATTGTTTGCCCTGATTCTTGGGCCTGGAAAAAACATTGCCAGTTTTCTAGGAGTCTGTGGTTTACTACTTTATTTGGGTGGCTTAGTACTGGCTACTAAATTTGGATCCTTTCTAAGACACTTTGATGACTAATGCTTTTAGTGCTGTATGCTTGGCTTGAAGAAAACTTAAGGAAGTTCATTTTCTCATGAATTAGGCTGCTAGGAAAGTAATGGCATTTTTTTTTTTTTTAGGAGAATGTCCATATTCAATTTCAAACTTAAAGCTTCCAGACTTTAAAATGATTCCTTATTTATGATTTCTTTTTCTGTTATGGATCCTGTCTGCCTTGCTTGTGGCTGTTTCCTTTACTCGTTCATAGCGTTGGATATTTTAATTTGTTGGATGTTTAACAGCAAGTTTATGTTGTAGAAGGAGTTAAATTTCAAAGGGGACCTCTGCGAAAGAATACTATTAATTTTGACAACCTGTGAAAGCAGGAGTAGTGATGACCCTATGGGGCTGCTGTTGTATGCTCTTAGTTCAGAAATGTCCCGGTTATAAAAGATTCTGAAATGTGTGTCCCAACTGATAAGGTGGACCTAAATCCTCTAGGCAGATGGTTGGCTGTCCCATAGGGACAGAGATTCCTCCGAGATTACTTAATTGCCTTTGACTCAGAGTCTTTACAAACTCTGCTAGTTATTAAAGGAAGCAATTTGGAATGAACAGATTGGCCTCCGGATTTGGCTTTGGCCATTGCGTTTTTAAGTCTGTTCCATCATAGCCAAAGGCATTAAACATCCCATGGCTTTTTATTTTATGTAAAGAGTCTAGCCAAAAGATTAATTTTCTGTATTCATCTGGTGACATTTGGAGAATATAACTTTAAATTAATTTTGAGTTAGAGCCTCTTTTTCTGAAAGTATGAAACACAATATGCCGTGGTTTTACTTAAATCATAAAAACCTGCATCACATTGCAAGGTGTGTGCCATTTGCTTGCCCAGAGTTTTTATAGTTACATAATATTTATGTAATTTTCTGTTAACAGAATAAAAGTATGTTTGCCTTATAAGAGTTTTTTGAAAAATGTATGTGTCTTGCTTTGAGTGAGTTTAATTTGTAGCTTCAGAATTTCAGAATCATAGGGGACTTGACTGCCCCTTTCATTTTGCGGGTGAGGGACTTGCCCGGCCCTGAGACCTACAGCATGGCTGGGCTGGAGCCTTCAGCTGGGAAATATTTGCCCTGTGGTCATCTAAACTTTCTGAGATGTCAAAGGTATAGTTAGGGATTCTCAGTTAAAGAAAAAAGGAAAAGGTATTGAAATACTTTCCATTTCGAGTTAGAACACTGAGTCCATTTATGGCGTGGTTGGAGTTGACTTGCCTTTACTGTGAGGTAAGGGGTGAAGTAGTACACGTGTGAAATCCCTTGAAAGAAAAATGGAAAAAACTTGTTTTCAGATAAGGTTCCTACCGGCTCTCATTTTTGCCGTCTCATTCACCTTCACCAGCGGTTCATTCCTCAGCATGCGGGCCCCGTCCACCGGGGCAGGATGGGCGGTTGCTGTAGGAGAAGGACCGTCCCTGAAGTGGTTGGAGTGTCCTTTGGTGGCAATGCCTTCCTTACATTTATATCTGTCCTGGCTTCACCTTTGTAATTGTCAAGCAGGCTAGACAAGGAAGGTGGGGCTGTGTTCGTTTTACAGATAAGAAAATTGAGGCTCAGAGGGCCGGCCTGGTGGCGCACTGCTACAGTACGCTGCTTGGGAGAGTGGTGGCGCTCCCGCCGAGGGTTTGGATCCCACATACAGACCGGTTCCCGCTCACTGGCTGAGCGAGGTGCGGGTGCGACACCGAGGGTTGCGATCCCGTTGCCGGTCCCGGTCCGGTACGGGCACGACACTGAGGGTTGCGATCCGTTGCCGGACACGAAAAAAGACAAAAAAAAAAAAAAAAAAAAAAAAAAAAAAAA